GCGAAGGACTCCAGACTGGGCCCACCAGGTACAGCGCGGGCGCGGCCGCAAGAACCCACGCAAGAAACCCAACCCTGAGAACCCGTGCGCGAGGTGCACCTGCGGGGAAACCCGGAGCACCCTGAACGTAGCAGCTCCTTCAACGGCTGCTGGAAGTCACCGCGCAGCGCGAGGAGCGAAGAAACCCAGGATACCCTGACGAAAAGCATATGGTTTCTTGATGCGGGCCCCCACTGTACGCACCATGGCAGCGCCCGACCTTCGAGCAGCCCTACGAGACTGGGACCACCCTCTTTATCCTGCTTCTTTTCGCGTTCGCCTTGAGCCCACCACGGGTAGAGGCGGGCCGTGGTCTACGTTTTCAGGTCAGGCGTGTCCTCCTACGGGCGGATTCTTGGACAAAACATAAACAATTACGCAAAACATGCGCAAACATAGTGAACATGACATGTTTTTTGTCCTCACTATGTTCTGCCATTTTTGAATTCTCCTCCAGCAGAGGGGCGTGCCCGACTTGAGTCTGCGCCTCGGGGGGCCGCGGAGGCCCGGCGATGTTGGGAAGGCCCGCCGCCGTGAGGCGGCCCTCCCGAGGCTGCCGGGCCGGGCCGGGTGCCGTCCTTCTCGGGGGCGCGCAAACACGGATTCGCGTTCAGTCGGGCGTGTCCCCCTACAGGCGGATCTTGGAGGAGGAATTACGAAGATTCAAGAAGCGCCAACAAAAATACTCAAAGGTAGTTCAACAAACGTCCCCTGACTAGTTTTACTATTTTGGAAGATGCCTCCTGTAGAGAGCAGGCCCGACTTAAGATTAGCGCGCGCAGTCGCCAAATCCATGGATCGGGGGTGGTGCCCTCCCCAAAATCTGGCCAGTGCCGCCTAGATCGCGATTTACCATGGAAGCGGGACCCGTCGCCAGTCCACGCCCCCGTGATCCATGTCTGCTATCACCTGACCTTCGTCCGCGAGTTGGCCCAGGACGCCGCCCCCGGTACCGAGTCCTACGACGTGGCCTCGCTTCCCTCCTCTCCCTGTCTGTCCTACTGCTCGGGGCGGAGCGTGCCAGCTTTCACCACGAGGCAATGGCCATCCGGAGGTTCCGTCCGAAGTGCAACCAGCGCGATGCCATGGAGCCCGAGGCCCTCAGCGGGAAACGGGGAACAGGAGAGCTACATGCAATGGGCAAGACCAAGCGAGCCCGATAACGTCGCCCATCATCATGGAGAGACGCGGGCCGATAGCCTCCACCAGTGCACCAGCTTGGACGGCGACCTTTGCCTCGGCAGCCAACGAACTTACCCCGCAGGAGGCGGATGACGGCTTATCTTCCACAGATCCTGGAGCACTCTTGGAGGCCGCACCGTATGGAGCCCTGTACCAGCTGCAAACCGGTGAGCACAAGCTTCAACACAGGAGAAGTTTGTCCGCTTTGGCTCTTTGGAGGCAAGAGGTTGGGCTTAATATTTGCGTTCTTGCCAGCTAAACGGAAGGACCTCCCCGTGTTCGTCTACTGCGGCCGCCAGGAAGTTGGAGCGGATCTGCATCTAGCAGCATCAATGGGCAGCTTCTTTCGCAGGCTGTTTCATCGCCAACGCATGGCCGTGCATGACATTGACCTACATATCCGCCGACCTCGCCTACCCAGTGCACGTCGACATACCCGTATTGCTACCAACCGCGTTTCAGCAGAAGGGGCACCGCCGGTGGGTGAGTTCAGCGATCGCATCCATGGCACGCACGATGAGGCTCGTCCCGACACGGGAGATGTACTGTCGCTACTGTGCTCACTCAGTCAGCAGGTGGGCTACCAGAGCCCGCATACCACAGCCGGTTCTACGGCGAGGCTTTCGCCCACAAGTGAATCGCGCCGCCCGAGGCCCCGATGCAGTGGCAGTCCGTCGAACAGGACATGACGGGCAGCTTGGACGAGTCCCACGAGTGCGTGATCATCGCGGACGACAAGGAGTGCGACAATGTGTGGGCGTGCGACGGGTGCGACATGATGAGGTATCTCCACCAGCTGGCCATGTCGGACCCAGGCTGGACCCTCCGCTTGGACAGATCCCCACACGACGCGGCCGTGTGGATGTGGGGTAGAGCTGTGGCTGCGCTACCGTTTTGGTTGTGCACACCGCGTTTCCTCCCACCGCTGACGGCAGACACGAAGCCGCCGCATGTCTTCCCCACAGTAAGAGGAAAATGCTGCTCTCCGCAGGGTGAGCGCACATGCCAAAAACCCGTTCACAGTTGCCTACGTCGGGTCGAAACTTGTTCGCAGGCTCCTGGGTCCTATGGCTTTCAAATCATTGGCACAGCAGCTCGTGATGCACTATCGCGAAATTCACTCAGCTCCGAGGTTTTTTAAACACTAACCAGGCTGCGCATGAAATCCGTCGTCTCCGTCGCTCTTTACCCCAGGGACTGGCTGTGCGGAGCGAACGCTGCTCACAGTGCATGACAGAGATAAGCACTTGAGAAGCGTAGTGCAGCAGCAGTCTCTGAGGCATGGTCCGAAGTTGCATCAGAAGTTGTTCGGAGGCTCGGAGTCGACGCTGCCCTTGTCAAACAGGCCCAGCGTCCTAAGACCAGGCCTTGGACAGGGTCTACGCCAACAGGATGGCTTTAAGGTTTCGGTTTATGACGTACATAAAGAATTGATGTCTTCTCATGGATATCCCTGGTGTCATCGGGGGGTGGTGTATTAGATGCGGGCACTCCCGATCGGTGGCGTCTTAGCTGGAGTTTCTGTATCTCTACTCATGTGCTGGTTCGATCATCAGGCTCAACGTGATGAGGCTCAGCTGGATGCTGCTGGCCGTTGACAGCTTCCAGCACATGAGGGGATTGCCGTGGGACAGCGTCGCAACGTCGATGACATTGTCGGGATGAATACACACTACTGCCATACGTGGTTGTATGCAGACGTGTGTGAAGCAGATCCTATACGCCTGAGCCCCGCATCAACAATAGAGGGCGAGGTGGAGCCGTGCATGTGGGCGGATGTGGAGCTCCAAATTGTATGTCCTGAGGTTGTGATCCTCCCCCAGAACCCGAACCGACCTTGGCTATCTGGAGATGTATGCCCGCCCCCGTGCCCATATCATTGAATGACAAGGCCAACCCCCGAGAAAAGTTGCGATGTTGGTATCCCTGTTCACGGGCAGGGTTGCTCGGGCCCAGTCGCTTAACCTGCTGGTTGGGGCCACGACGGGCTGGACGCTTGAACTTGCTCTGGAGCTGTTCCTCTTGGGTCATCCCATAGACTTTATCCTGGCAGCAGCGCATGCCACTCCGTGGAGTATCTCTGCTCAGGGGGCTAGGGTAGTCATTCGAGCCTGGCGATCCCAGATTCGGCACACGGCGTCTTCATCACAACACCACATAAACAAAACCTATGATCGCCGTTGGGGCAATGAACCGTGGAATGGCAACCAACGATACGATAAGAGCTACGACCAAGACCGTGACCAGGACCGTGACCGCTGAACCGCCGTGACCATGATGATCAACGGGACGAATACTGCGTGATGACCGTGGTAGGCGGGAACGACGGGACCGCAAGGACTCCATTTTCGACCGTGATCGCGATCGAGAACGCGACAGTGACCGTGAGCGTCGGGGAGGCAGCAAGGGTCGGGATCGCCGCACTGCAGAACACGAGATCGAGCATCGCCGCAAGCAGCTCGAGTCCAAGGACAAGGAGCATGCCGCCTTCCTCCATGATAAGACATGTCGAGAACGCGAGTTGGAGCTCCGCAAGCTAGGGGAGTACGTGGCGTCAGCGCTCAAGTCTGCCTTCGCCAGCCAAACAGAGGAGCTTCGCAAGGCACTGGCCCCCGACTACTGCCCACCCACACCACGCGCACGCTCGGCCTCACCTGCACGTACGTCCTCGTCGGCACTTTCCCACTCGGAGCTTGGGTGGATCCAGGAAGTGGTGGGCTACAAGGTGAAGATCCCCGCGAAGGGCACTCGAGAGGAAGTTCAGGCTCTGGTCCCAAAAGCATTGCCCAGCGACAAACACGCAACGGGCTCTGCCAACATGGTCATCCTCCCGCATGTTCCCCGCAAGCAGCTCCCAGGGACTCACAGGGATAAGGCCGCGCTGCTCATGGACATCGTCCTTGGAATGATATGCTGAGAGTTTCCCGACGTAGATTATATGAGTTCCTGTGTCCATGGACCCGACAAGAAGGTTTTTCAACAAAAAACATCAGATGATGTGTGCTTTCGTTCGTTCTTGGGGTCCTGGTGAGCCTACTCCATTTATATACTCCTCCCCGCCAAGGGGGGCCGCCGTCTAGATGTAATTCGGTCGTGCTGGGTGCTGATTTGGTCTCACGCACAGGAGGCATCGAGCATTCAGATGATCCTGAATGCAGTTGGGATGCCAGGGGCGGTTTTCAGCTCAGGGGAGAGTGCCTTACTCCAGAGTGCAGTTCCTGGGACCGCGGGGATGGCTTAAGTAGTGCGATCGGATATGCCAGACGGGCCCCAGTACCTAGGACCCCACTTCCCCCCCCCCCGCACCCTTGGTCCGTGCCGAGGCCCCGCTCTAGTGAAGTGCTTGAGGTCAAATGACTCAAGACGCTGACGAAGCAGGCCCGTGCAGGTGACCCCTCCCCTTGTGCTCCCTCCCACAAGTATCGTCACCCTCCTCCGAGCTCTCCCCAATGGCGCCGACGACCCTGCACTAGAGAGGCACATGGCATCCAGTCTGTTCCACGCGGAGGGTTCCTCTCTCTCTCTCTCTCTCCCTCGTCACACTTAACTATCCCTCCCTTCCCCGTACCCCAAATCCGCCCTGTGATTCGCTACGGCGCCAGCCCGAAGATGTGTTGACGCGCGCCGTAGCACACACACACACACACACACACGCACGCACACGCACCTCGAAGATAGGAGGGACTCTCTCTCTCTCTTTCGCTCTTTCTCGCCCGCCCTTGCTCACGTATCCCATTGATCTGCCCCGCTCTCACTCCCTGTATCGCTGCTGCTATGTCTCGTGCTTGAGCCTTCCTCCAGGGGCCGAGCTTGCCCGCGCGACGCTCACGGCAAGTTCGGTGTTCGCCGGAACCTGTACCAGCAGAACGCAGACAACGACAATTTATCCGCCACCGTGCCTCTGGGCACGAAGTCGGCGTGTCCTCAGGTCCTTTGTTTAATTCTTGAGCCGCAGCCCTCAATCCTGAGGATTCTGAGGGGGCCCGGTCCCCAAATAGCCAAACTTGGTGGGGCTTGTCGCGTACCCCCTGGGCTCCGGGGCATCTTGTCGCGTGAACTTTTCGGCCCAGGATCGCCCCAAGGCGGGCCAAGAGGGCCCCCAAAGCCTCCAAGACGGTCCAAGAGGGCTCCGAGTTGCCGAACGACTAATTCAAGACGCCCAAGACAGCTCCCAGACAGCCGCAGAAGACCCCAAGACGCCCCAAGAGGCCTCACAAGAGGGTCCCAAACGCAGAAATCATGAATGTCCTGAGACGTTCCAAGACGGTCCAAGAGGCCCCAAAGGTCGCCCCAAGACGGCCCCAGAGGCCCCCAAGAGGGCCCTGAGACGGCCCAAGAGGGCCCCAAGACGGCCCAAGAGGCGCCCAAGACGGCCCAAGAGGGCCCAAGGACGGCTCCAAGAGGGGGCCCAGGTGGGGAACCCGAGCGGACGTGTCGAGCCCTCGGCCCCGAGGGCCCCCTCAGGAAGTTTCCTGGGGGATGCCTCAGTGGCGCAGGCGGGCCCCGCCGCACGCCCCCCCCACACCGTGCCGCACGTGGCGCACGGTGATCAGCCCACGGCGTCCACGTGGCCACCAGCCCCGACGTGCTGGCGCGCCCCCTCGGGAGCCTCGCCACAGCCTCAGCTGCTGCGGCCATTTCAGGACGTGCCCAAGATATCGTCCAGCGCGTCCCGCAGGTCGACCAGCTGCCGCATGGCCGTGCGCGCACGGCTCTTCCAGCACCCGAGGGCCCGCCTCTGGCGCCATCGCCTCTTCCGCAGCACCTGGCCTACAGCCACAGCCGCGATGGGGGCCACCTCCGAGCTCTCCGAAAACACTGCCGCGCCGTCCCGCCCAGCGAGGCGCCAACCAGCTGCGAAACCCTCCGCTAAGGCCTCGGCCTCCGTCACAGGATCCCGCGTGAGCCAGCATCCTGGCGCCAGCCCGTCGGAGCCGCCCGCGGACACATCGATCTCGAACTCCTCGCCCGTCATTCCCAGCAGCCTGCCCTCGAGCCCGCCGCTGCCGCCGATGACGTCGGTCTCCAGCATCGCCTCCCCGTCCTCGCTGGTCGGCGCCAGAGCCCGCTGCCCCTGCTCGTCCACCTCGAGCTCCGAGGCCTGCAAGGCATGCTCCTCCCTGACCTCCTTCTGGAGGAAGGGCGACTTGCCCCCGAGCTCCGCCGCCAGGCTCCGCTCGGCGACCACGCCGACCAGCCATAACTGGGGGAGCTGTGGTCCCTACCCCCCTGGGGGAACCAATCGCATCGACGATCTCTCGAGAGGGATGTCAAAATCGAGGGGTCCCCCAGGGGGGTAAGGACCACAGCTCCCCCAGTTGTGGCTGGCCTGCCACGTGCACCTCCTCGCCCCTCGCGTCGGCCACCCTCTGGCTGCCTCCGAGGCTCCGCCCTCGGGCTCCGCTCGGCGGCCTCCGCGTCGACTCGCTCGCCGACCAGGCAGGAGCAGCCTGGACTGGAGCTCGGCCACGTGGATCGCCTTCGCGCCGATGTCGTCGGGATCCAGCGTCGCCTCCCAGACTGGAGCTCGGCCACCTGGATCGCCTTCGCGCTGCTGTCGTCGGGATCCAGCGTCGCCTCCCAGACTGGAGCTCGGCCACCTGGATCGCCTCCACGCTGATGTCGGAGGAGGAGGAGGAGGAGGAGGAGGAGGGGGAGGGAGAGGGGAGGAGGAGAGGGAGGAGGGGGGGAGGGGGGGGGAGAGGAGGAGGAGGGGAGGAGAGAGGAGGAGGAGGAGGAGGGAGGAGGAGGAGGAGGAGGAGAGGAGGAGGGGGAGAGGAGGAGGAGGAGGGAGGAGGAGGGGGAGGAGGAGGAGGGAGGAGGGAGGAGGAGGAGGAGGAGGGGGAGGAGGAGGGGGAGGAGGAGGAGGAGGGAGGAGGAGGGGGAGCGATGTCGTCGGGATCCAGCGCCGCCTCCCCGCAGGCGCCGCCTCGGCGCCCGAGCCCGCTGCCCCCCGGCACGCCCACGGCTCGGCCACGCAGAGGGGCACCCTTGAAGGGGCCCCAGGACACACAAATGAGTACGCACAAATAAATACGCACAAATAAATACGCACAATAAATACGCACAAATAAATACGCATAAATACGCATAAATACGCACAAATAAATACGCACACATACGCAGACGGCACCCTTGAGGGGGCCCCAGGACACGCAAAGAAGTACACACAAATACAAAGATTCCCCATAGCTTCCCATATTTTCTCGGTGCCTGTCTTCCCCCCCAAATTACCATATTTGCCCCTATTTTCCTGGGAGTCGACGATTAATTGTGTCTGTGTGTGTTTTCCCCTCCTGCAGGACACACAAATAAGTACACACAAATACAAAGATTCCCCATATCTTCCCATATATTTTCTCGGTGTCTGTCTTCCCCCCCCCAATTCCCATATTTGCCCCTATTTTCCTGGGAGTCGACGATTGATTGTGTCTCTGTGTGCTTTTTCCCCTCCTGAACCCTGCGCGTCCGGCCTCACCCCCCGCAGCCATCACCGTCAACTCGTCTGCCAGCCCGCGCGGCCGCCGTGCCCCGCGACGGACGGAGAGAGGGAAGGAACCGGCTTGAGCCAAAATGGCGACGGGAGGGGCCCCCACAAGAGGCCCGCAAGAGGCCCCCAAGAGGCCCAAACAGGCCCACAGGAAGTTCCCGAGAGGCTCCAAGGGGCCCCAAAAACTGCTTGCAAGAGGCCCCCGAGAGCGTTCTGAAGAGACCCCAAGAAGATATCCTGAAAACTCTGACCCACAACCCAGGTACTGCGGCGGGATGGGCCGCTGGCCATTCGAGATATACCCACACCTATCAAGCTATGTTTCTGTCTCTCACTCTCTCTCTCTCTCTCTCCCTTTCACTCTCTCTCTCTCTCGTCCTGATAATAGTCCTCTTTGTATTCCTCTTTGTATTGTGATTCCTCTTCCCATTTCTCGCCTCCTTCCTCATCCTTTTCTTCCGCTTCTCAATATTCCTTGTGCTCCTCATTTTGCTTCTGCACCACATCCTCCTCATCCTCATCGTCCCTCGACCCTCGTCCCTCGTTTTCCCCATTGGGAAGGAAAGGGGAAGAGAGGGGAAGAGAAGGGAGAGGGAAGGGACGAGGGAGGAAACGGATAAGCGGCGAAGGGACGGAAGGAGAGAGAGGGCGAGGAAGGTGCGGGGAGGACAGGAGGGACGCAGAGGGGAGATGTAGCATCGGGTGGGGAAGGCGGACGAGGACGCACAAGGAGCACGCCGGGGGCAGGGGGGCAGGAGGGCAGGATGGCAGGAGGGCTCGCGGGTCGTCGTCAGCATCACCTCAGTACGTTGTCAGCCAACCTCAGTCCCTGCCTTCTCCTTCCTCTCCCTCCCTATCTCGTCCTGCCCATCTCTTCGCCACCTCTACGGGAAGGAAGATTGTCATGACCGCGCGGATTCCTCGGATCGGCCCTGGATCCCCCTCCCTGGCGCGCAAAGCGCGCGCGGGGCGGCGCCGGAGGCGCGGCCAGGGCCCCCCAGCACCGATGCCTTACTGTTTTTGTCATTGCTTGTTCCCCGGAACTCCCTCCCCCCAGCCTGCTCCTCATCCTCGCACACCTCCCCCTTGTCTTGTCCCCCCTGCCCTCATCTCCCTGCTTCATCCTGGTCCTCTCGCTGCTCGATCCTGGTTCCCCCCCCTCCGACCGCCTGGCCGCCCGCCTTCCCCTCCATCCCTCTCCTCCTCCAGCTCAGCCACCTCCTCATCCTCCTCCTCCTCCTGCCCCTCCTCCTCCTTCTCCTCCCAACTCCATCTCCTACTCATCCTCTCAACTCCACCTCCTACTCCTCATCCCTCTGCTCCTCCTCTTTTGCTCCTCCTCATCCTCCTGCTCCTCCTCCTCATGAGCGCCCTGACCCTCCTCCTCCTCACCATCATTGCAACACCAAATCACATCATCACCACATCACCGCATCACATCATCATCCTCATCATCATCATCATCATCATCATCACCATCACCATCACCATCACCATCACCATCATCATCATCATCATCATCATCATCATCATCATCATCATCATCATCATCATCATCGTCATCATCATCATCATCGTCAGCATCATTATCATCAGCATCATCATCGGTATCATCGTCATCATCATCAGCATCAGCAGCAACCGCAACGACATCATCAGCATCAGCATCATCATCACCATCATCATGATCAACAACGCAATCATAATCATAATCAACAGCATGATCAGCATCCTCATCATCATCGTCAGCATCATCACCGTCTTCATCATCACCATCATCATCGGCATCATCATCTGCATCGTCATCATCATCGACATCAGCACCACCATCACCAACAACATCACAACCAGCATCGCCATCAGCAGTATCTTCAGCAGCAGCATCAACATCATCAACAACAATACATTCAGCATAGTCATCATCAATGTCAGCACAATCATCATCACCACCAGCAGCAACATCACCATCATCATCATGATCATCAGCATCATCATCGTCATCATAACTATCATGGTCATCACGCTCAGCAGCATCAGTACCATCAACATCAGCATCATCAATAGAATCAGCATCAGCATCATCAGCATCATCAGCATCATCATCGGCATCGTCGTCATCGTCATCATCGTCATCATCACCTCAATCCTCATCATCATCACCATCATCAGCATCACCGTCATCAGCATCGTCATCATTATCGACATCAGCACCACCATCACAAACAACATCAGAATCAGCATCCCCATCAACAGCATCATCAGCGTCAGCAACGTCATCAAGAATCAACAACACATCCAGCATACTCATCATCAATGTCAGCATCAGCATCATCATCACCAGCAGCAACATCACCATCACCATCATCAGCATCATCATCACTATCAGCATCAGCATCGTCCTCATCACCATCATCGTCATCACTTTCAGCAGCACCAGTACCATCGACATCAGCATCATCAATATCATGATCATCATCAGCATCATCATCGTCATCGTCATCGTCATCTGTGTCGTCATCATCACCTCAATCAGCATCATCAGCAGCATCATCATCAGCATCACAATCATCAGCATCACCAGCAT